CACCACCACACACACACACACACACTGGCACACCCAGGCAGTCATGCAAATGTAGAGTGCATAAAGTGCATAAAGTGCAGCTAGCAGCGACAGGTGAACGAACGACCTCAAACGAGGTCAGTAGTTGGGTGGTGGGAGGGGGCCATGGAAGAGGGGAGGGGCTATGGATGGGGAGGAGGAAGGGGAAACCGGGGCCATTCATGCGCACGATAAAGCCGAAAAAATATCAACTATATATTATGTATACATCCGTGTCTGTGCATGTGTGTTACCACAGCGTGGAACTTTGGCAGTTGGATGTTGCCTGTTGGCATTTGGCATTTTGGCCCTCTTCGCATGCTAATGGCCCGGTTCGGTCCGAAAAGCGACGAAAGACTACGGACCAAAAGTTGGGGCAAAAAAACAAGCTAAATGTGGGCAACATTTGGCCACTTTACGAGGCGATGCTGCCGCTTCTCGCACTTCTGCTGCCTCAGATTTCGGTGACCTAAATCCTTTTTTACCCAGGCCAGAAGTGGGAGCTCAGCTTAGCAAGAAACCCCTCCCCCTACTTTGTGCACTGAAAAAAAATATTATTTCGAATATGGTTTGTTTAGCAGGTTTATCTGTGAGGAACCTAATTAAAAACAAGAAAGGAACGCTAACTTGGAGCCGAAGGTGATATACCCTGCAAATACTCTTAAATTAATCCAAAATTATTCATATAATGCATTCTTAATACTCATAAAAATCCCAACTTCCTAGCTTACAAACACGAAAGTTAGGCATTTCCGATCAATCAGTTATATGGCAGCTATAGAAACTTGTCGGCCGATCACGTATGAAATTTTGTAGGTCGGATGGATTGGCCAAATATAAAACAAAATTTCAACTTCCTAACTTTACAAACGAAATTATGGCATTTCCGATAAATCAGTTATATGGCAGCTATAGGATAAAGTCGGCGATCCTTTAAATTTGGTGAGTCGGATTGATTGGCCAAATATAAAATCTATCGAAAATTTAAACTTCCTAACTTTAAAAAAAGAAAAATTAGGCATTTCCGATCAATCAGTTATATGGCAGCTATTGGATATAGTCGGCCGATCCTTATAAATTTGGTGAGTCGGATTGATTGGCCAAATTTAAAACCCATAGAAAACAAACTTGCGAACTGTCAAACACGTTATGGAACTTCCGATCAATCAGTCTATATGGCAAAGAAATAGTCAGCATCCCGGCCGTTCTAGACTTTTATAGTTTCCAAGAAGATCTCAGCGTTCGATAGCTTTAAAAGAACAGTTTCGAAACAGACAGACGGACAGACAGACAGACGGACAGACAGACGGACAGACGGACAGACGGACAGACGGACAGACGGACATGGCTATATCGACTCAGGTAGTGATCCTGATCAAGAATATATATACTTTATAGGGTCGGAAACGCTTCCTTCTAGCTGTTACATACTTTTGCACGAATACAATATACCCTTTTACTCTACGAGTAACGGGTATAATTATTACTTTTTAGCTATGGTCTATTTAAGAAATATGTTGCTGCCAAAATATTATATTATCATAATTTATATGTTGTCCTTAGGCAACTGCAAATATAATATCGGAAAGAAATGTTCAATTTAAATTGTGAACCAAATAGAAATGATAAGATATAGACGCCCCATATATTACGTAACCATTGAGGAGGTTATCAGTGAGATGATTACTTCTATAGGTCTTCCCTTTATGGCAAAATAATGAAATTAAGGGGAAATTTATATGATTAAGTTATCTTAAATTGTAACAAATGGGTTATATATTTCAGAACCTGAATGTTTTAAAAGAAACTTATGTAAAGCCTAAAAACATTAAATAAAAAGATAGTTTCAAGTTTCTTAAAATTTTTCAAGTGCATGATGTATTTTTCCAAGTGTGATTCTGCCTGTGAATCTGGCCTAAACGAGTTTTTCCGCCCTCTTCTTGCTCCGCACTCCCCCCTCTGCCGCTCGCCATTTGGCTGCACTAAATCACTTAAGATGCTTTTAGCTGGGAAAAAAAGTTTGAGCTTAGGCCAGCAACGCTCCACTTATTTATGTGGGCTTGGGCTCCCCAACTTGGCCCGAAGCGTGTGTAATGGATGGTGTTGACCTGGTCTGAATGGGGCCTGCTCCGTGGGTGGTGACAGGTGACAGGAGACGGGAGACAGGCGAGGGGGTCCAGGTCCGTCAGGTCCAGGTCGATTGAATAAGTAATGACGGGGATTATGCTGGGGCCATTTGGGGCAGTACTGCTCCCAATTCCGCAATGATAGATACTCCACTTCCACTCGGGCTGAAGCAGCCATCGATCTGCTCCACTTCTCGACGACTTCAGCAGCCCCTCGAATCTGGATTTGCGATGGTAAAATCTTCAAAATCAATAAACCGCAGCCCTGGGTCGCTAATTGAAAACACCTTAGAACAAACAGAGCAAGAACGCCGAGTGCCCGCCATGAGCAATTAGCGGCATATCGAAGGTGGCAGCCTCAAAAACCAATGGCCAAGTATTATGCATGCCTATATGGGGGTGCAGTGTGTGTGGTGTGGCGAATTATGCCATAATTAATTTACGAGCTGTGACAATTAACGCCAACGAGACGTTTTATGATCAACGCTCTTTGGTGGGCGGTGAAAAGCGTGACTCGAGCACAATGAGAACCTAGAAATCATAGAAAACCTAGAGTTAAGAGCGTGACAAGGCTGGAACTGAAACCTCGTCTGACGGCGGTCGTAATGGGATCATGTTGCCGCCAAACTAAGGTCAGGGAAGCTCTGGCTCAGGGTCTTCTAGAGCTGCGAAATCTATCACCAAAATGGGTCATCATTTCGGTGTTTACCTTATCAATTTCGATTTATTCGCTGGCATATAAGCATGACATTCAAAATATTATAATAATGCTTTTACTATTATATTTATTAACTGATTATGAGTTTGCTGATAATGATACAATTGATAAAAAGATAGCAACCTTATCCGAAAACTTAAAATTTCCTATTCATAAGACACAGTAAGATCGTACTAAACTTTTGAGAAACAAACAAAGAACAATAATAAAATGTTTTTAAAATAAAATTGAAAACGTTAATTAAAACACTCCATTTGTTTTTAGGGTTTCTATTTAATTTCTATTTAATATTGCAAATAATTTGTCATAAGGAAATGGTTTTATTTTTCATGATCCAACACAAAACTTCAAGTCCCTCTCTTCATAATTTTTAAATTTACATAAAATTATTTTTGTGGAAATAATTTGCGGAATGTATGCATTTATATATATTTCTTGTTGTGTAGGGCAAACGACCTTTTCGACCCTCGACCAGCACAGATGCCATGTTTTGGTGTTGTCATAAATGGGTCAGTGTGTTGGCCATCTTTCACTTGGCCAGCTGCCTTCTGGCATTTGCTGGCGATGCTTTGCGTGCAGAAGAGTTTTCCGGCTTCCCCTGTCCACGCTGCGTATGCGCAATGCATGCGAAGTTTCTTTCACTTTTGCCGTGCTCTTTCTTTTGCCTCCACATTTTGCCGTATTTTATGTGATTTTACGATGTTGTCAGCCCGAAATGCTGACGCATAGTAAGAGCAGAGGCTTTCGTCATTAGTGTTGTTATTGTGACCGTTTGTTTGGAAACCGCCGGCGGCGGCTACCGCCAGACCACAATAACAACACAGCACAACACAACTCGGCAAAGCCGAAGAAATACCCGCACATAAACTCATATAAGGCAAGAGGAAAAACAAAAAGCGGCGGCAACGAAATCACTTGCCTCCGTTTTCATATTGAGCGCAGTGGGTCAATGTCCCACTGATAAAGTGAGCACTGAATGCCGGCAACTGGAGCAGCTGCGTCTGTTTCTTTTTCTGTCTGTCTGCACTGGCTTTTGGGCAGCCAAATGCGATTTTAATTAATAAAATATGTGTAGTCTTCGGTTGCACAAAGCAAAATTTCACGTTGTGCAATTTTCACAGACAAACAAAACTGAGAAATGCCGAAAACCTCTAGCTAATGAACACTTCAAACGATGAACGAAAATTGAAATTAATTATTTTCCCCGACAGAATGTATCGCATTTCGACAGACCAACAACTTGTAGGACACGCAAATTTTCTAGTTGATAGCACAGAAATGTTGGCAATTTGCTAGAGATACTCGAAAGTATCCACAAGTGTGTGACGCATTTATAAGATTTATGCGTGTGCCAGTTTTTCTGCTTCCCAACTAAATACAAAGTATACATCAACACTCGGTGGATGCTATAATAAGTTAATCGTGTGTTTTGTAGGGAATGAATTTTCGAATTTAAATAGTCGGATGACTAACAAGCTACAAACTATAAGGCAAATACGCACTATTTTATTGGCTCAACATTATGTGCGTATCAGTTTTCTGTGGGAAAATTAAATGGGAAATGTAAAATTTAAATGAGCTTTTTTGTGGCATACTTTTGGGGTGGCGCATTAAAAATGGGCGGAAATAAGTACACAGCTCTCATTTCCCTTTTTTGCCATCATGTTTTTTCAATTACTTGAAAATATATTATTAATTAAAGGCAATATGAGTTTGTTTTGCTAATAAGTTCAATTGCCATTGAAAATAGCAATTATTTATTTAAAACAGAAACTAAATATTTCTGTGCATAAATGAAAATGCATTAAATATAGGAGGAAAAAGTATTCAACAGTACTTAAATCTAAAGTTTAATTTATTTTGAATAGTTTTATTGCAAATATATTTAAATTAAAAATGAGAATATGTGTATGTTCGCGATTTCAATATTTAGAACAATTTAAAAAAAATAATTTAGATTTTCTTTTGGAGTGCCAGTTAACTTATTGAATAGCCAGTAAGGTAATTGCAATTTAAGTTAAATACCACAGCTTGTCTATTTAAATATGCAACTTACCGTGGGGTTATTTCACTCGCAAGAATGCAATTAACTAAGTAACTAATTACCCCATTTCTCCCCCATTTTTTGTCCCTTGCAGCTGTACGTTATGGTCGCGTTCCCAAGCGTTCCCGTGAGCTGAACGGAGCAGCCGCCGCCTCCGCCGCTGCAGGCGCTCCATCTGCCATAAATGTGGATGACACCTCCGGCAGCACACTGCAACCCAATCAGTTACAGCAGCAACAGCAACAGCAGCAACATCTCCTGCAGCAGCAGCAGCAGCAGCAACATCAGCAACAGCAACATCAGCAACAACAGCAGCAACCGCATGTGAGCGGAGCTAGAGTGAAGACACCGAGTACTCCACAAACGCCACAAATGTGTTCGATCGCCTCCTCGCCATCGGAGCTGGGCGGTTGCAATAGTGCCAATAACAATAATAATAATAACAACAATAGCAGCGGCAATGCCAGCGGCGGCAGCGGCGTAAGCGTCGGCGTTGTTGTTGTGGGCGGACACCAGCAACTGGTGGGCGGCAGCATGGTGGGCGTGGGCATGGGCACGGATCACCAGGTGGGCATGTGCCACGACGGACTGGCCGGAACGGCCAACGAGCTGACCGTCTACGATGTGATCATGTGCGTGTCGCAGGCGCACCGCCTCAACTGCTCCTACACGGAGGAACTGACCAGGGAGCTGATGCGCCGCCCCGTGACGGTGCCACAAAATGGGGTAAGTGCCGAAGACAGAAATATGGACAATAAGTAAGAATTAGCAAATCGTTGACAGTTTTGTGGTCGCATAATTAAACCAGTCTTTCTATATATTTTTTATACCCTTGCAGAGGGTATTATAATTTTGTCAAATGTATGAACATAATAGACATCCGACCATATAAAGTATAATATAATTTTTAATCATGATCACATTTACAATCATTTGTTAAAAGCAAAACAATGTATACGATAGGCCGTCTGTTAAAAAATCGATGCCGTACTATCCGTCTGTCTCGTTGGTCCGAAAATTTAGTTTAAACATCGATGTCTGTTTTGGGCCACCATCGATACTATCGTTTCAGAAAAAACTATTTTTTCTTTGTATTTGCAGCAGTATATTTGAACGAAAAGGGGATTAGCCGACTATATCCTATAGCTGCCATATAACTGAACGATCGGAAATGTCCACTTTAAGGTCATGCAATTTTAAAATTAAAGAAGTTGGGATTTTCTATGGGTTTTATATTTGGCCAATAAATTTTTCGTACCAAATTTTCATTATGATTGGCCGATTAGTTCCTATATGCTGCCATATAACTGAACGATCGGAAATGCCGCAACTTTGGTGTTTGTAAAGTTAGAAAGTTGGACCTTCTATGGGTTTTAATTAGGCCTGAATCAATTTGACGTAGCAAATTTTATAAGGATCAGCTGACTATATCCTATAGCCCAAAATAACTTTTTGATCGGAAATGACATAACTTATAATTTTTTTAGGAAGTTGGGATTTTCTATGGAGTTCTTATTTTTTACCAATATAATCCGACCTACCAAACTTCATAAGGATCGTAAATATATCTTTTTGCTAATATGTTCGATTGGAATATGCCAGTAACTTTGGTGTTTTTAAAGTTTGGAAGTTGGGATTTATATGAGTCGTTAGAATGCATCATATGAATAATTTTGGAGAATATAATTTACAGAGTATTCTGCAAGGGTATATCAACTTCGGCTCCGCCCGAAGTTAGCTTTCCTTTCTTGTTTTTAAATATATTTTCAAATGTATAACATAATATAACAAATATATGTATAATTAATTTTAAATATACACATTTACAATCCTTTCTTAAAAGCAAAACAATGTATACAATATAAGAACCTTTGAGTTAAGACTTTTTAAACAGTATTTCGAAATCATTTTCTATTTTTACATAGCTTTTTGATAGTCAAATAATTGAAGTGTTTAAATTTTTTAAATATTGAATATTTTATAAATAAGGAAACATTATTTCCCGTGAACAGAAAGATTTAAAGTCATATAACCCGCTTAGAGCTACATTTCTTAGCAGTTCGGTATCATAATAATAATCATGATTGACAACTACAAAAATCCAAGATTCGATGACACATTAAACTAATCCATAAAATGTTCTTTGTAATAAAAATGGTTATTTTCTTGTGAAGGCTTAGTCAATAGAAAACCAAAACATTTTTTTAAATTTTACTAACCCAATCTTTTTATGCAGATTGCCAGCACAGTGGCGGAGAGCCTGGAGTTCCAGAAGATCTGGCTGTGGCAGCAGTTCTCGGCCAGGGTGACGCCCGGCGTCCAGCGGATTGTGGAGTTTGCGAAACGCGTACCTGGCTTCTGTGATTTCACCCAAGACGACCAGCTCATACTCATCAAGCTGGGCTTCTTCGAGGTCTGGCTGACGCATGTGGCACGCCTAATTAACGAGGCCACTCTGACACTGGACGACGGAGCCTACCTGACGCGCCAGCAACTCGAGATACTCTACGATGTGAGTAGACTTTTTGAGGTATTAATAGAACACTTTAAAATAATCGACAAACATTTTGAAATTGTTAACTTTACAACTGAATCCATGACCTATTCATGCTTAAGTTGAAACTAGACCTCGCAGGGAATTTATATTTTAAAATTATTTTGAAATGCTTATTAGCCGGGATTTTAGTAAGAGGAATTTAAGATTATTTCTGAGCTATTATATCTGGATAAAAATTAAGCTGTGTGCTTAAGTTAAAGTTTTTAAGTTTAGAAAAAACGCCTTTTATATAGAAAATATTGGTACAAAAGAACAAGTTATAAACAGCATAAAGGCATAACTATTAATTCGTTGTGAAATGATGTAAAGCATATATATAATTTGTACTGTGGTTTTATTTTTTGAAGTCATTAAATTAATAATTAAGAAGTTTTTCATAATCAATAAATAATTTAACCATAGTTATGAACTATGTTCCTTTTTTTCGGTGTTATAATACCAATTTCCCCTTTTTGCTTTCCAGTCTGACTTTGTGAACGCCTTGCTGAACTTTGCCAACACGTTGAACGCCTACGGGCTGAGCGACACCGAGATCGGGCTGTTCTCGGCCATGGTGCTGCTGGCCTCCGACCGGACGGGACTCAGCGAGCCGAAGGTGATCGGACGGGCCAGGGAGCTGGTGGCCGAGGCGCTCCGCGTCCAGATCGTGCGCTCCCGGGCGGGATCCACGCAGGCGCTGCAACTGATGCCGGCGCTGGAGGCCAAGATACCCGAACTGCGGTCCCTGGGGGCCAAGCACTTCTCACACCTAGACTGGCTGCGGATGAACTGGACCAAGCTGCGCCTGCCGCCCCTCTTCGCCGAGATCTTCGACATACCCAAGGCCGACGACGAGCTGTAGGATGGGGGATCCGGATACCCGCGATTCCAGGGCCGTGCAAAAGCAAACCGCAACAAAATATTCTACCACTTGTAGGCTTAAGCAACGTAGATATAGAGAAAAGGGAGGGCCGGAGATCAGATACACGTCTACTCAGCATTACTGGAGATAGTTCACTAAGCCTATATGCATATTTACTAGCAGTGTTAGAGCGACTAGGACTCCACTACCCGCTGAACATATCCATGCGCAAACATAAATTATTTATTTCATTGTTGACTCATCGAGATCCACTCCGTTCCACATCACATCATCCCCATGCACACCCAACCGAAATTAAGAAATCAAACGGAAATTCACCATTGGCCAGCTATCCAAGGCATCTATTTAGAACTCGACTGAAGAGCGAGCGTTAAAGTTCGATAAATACTGGTTTTTTAAATAATATTAACTACTATAAACGATATCGGATATATGTGTACGTTACATCTAGAGATACGACCCTAGCGTAGTCGAAAAGCAAAAAGACCCACTTCGTTTGCTTGCAAAAGTTGGAGATCCCATACGATTTAATAATATACATATGCAAAATGATAAATCTATGCCTAGTTTAAATCATTTTCGAGTTGAAGATCGATGCGTTTATTGTATCTGCGTGTAAATAAATTTAAATTAATTTTAACCATTAACTCGCTGCGACTTGATTATTTTAAACCCCACCACCCACTGAGTTGCTCGATGATCCATCCCAGATCTTCGGCTGCAACGGCCTCCATTCAAAGTGTTCAGTTTCTCACTTAAGATCAGACATTTACATCTTACGATTAAGAAACTTGGGTTAGAGACCATCTAAGTTAAGTGCTTTAAGGCTTCATTTGTATAACTCGGAACAATCAAATTGTTTGATCAATTTTTGAATAGATTGGTGCTAAATTTGTGTGTTAAGTTTACATGGAAACAAGCGAAGAAAACCAACAGACAGGCGAACAAAATATATATATTTAAACCTATCTATATATCAAATACATGTATGTAAAAATCAAAAGGATTCTTCTCTAAAGCTCTTCATTGATTGTTGAATTTATATAGAAAATTTTGTAAATTTTATTAGTGTGACAAAGGAAAATATTAAATGTAGAGGCAGCTGCGATCGATCTTGTGGCTGCCGTTTTATGCTCCATGTGTACCTTTCGCTTATTGAACTAGAATATCGAAATCAATATAGATCTATATACATAAATTTATAGACTACGATTCGCAATATCTTAGAAGACACGCAACTTACAACGCTAGCAATTTTCTCTCCCGATCCTCGAAAATCCCCTACACCACTATACTTTTGATCCAAGCACAAACCCAAGAAAACTCTGTGTTAATTTTGTAAACCAGTGCGCATAATGGAACCTTGTGAATGTAGCATTAAAAACGACAACAAGAACAACAGATTTTTAATTACATTATTAACTTATACCTAACTATTATATACAGATATATAATAAATATATAGATACAATTTTTTACCTACTGTAGCTTTGATTACATTTTTCAATGATGTGTCAAATTTTAAATGGTATTAACGATAGTCCAAAATACTCAACAACTACAGCAGAAAATGTTACAGCGCATTAAGAAGGCCGACTTCCTACGATCATGGCTTGTTACGTGTCCACTAATCGCTCCACTCGAATACAGTGCAAAGATCCAACCCAGATATACATTAATCAAATATCAATATGCAAGACATTGCTTAGCTGTTTACTGATCCATACCCCCAACATCCCGAAGATGAGTCGGCAGCTCCGACCTTGCAATGCCCTGTACAATTTAAAATTGTGTTTTCCGTAGATCCCCCGATAGATGACCTGTGGTCTGTGGTGAATCCAACCCCATTCATTCCGCTCACAGTGCAGGGCATTCACAATTATCTGATATGAAGGCTGCTCGCTTTACTAACTTACTAAGAAATAGAACAGAAAACCATATACATAACACTAAGCCCAAAACAAAATATAACAAATAAACAAAAGACGATAAGAACACTGCGAAAACTAATTAGAAAACGAAATACATACGCAGATTGTAATAAAATTACAGAAAAGCAAACAAACAAACGTCTTTGAATGATTTGATAAAGTAGTGGAAAAATGTGGAGGTTTATCATAGGGGTAAGAAACTATTTCGCCAGCGATGAAATATGAAATTTCCATTTTAATTAGGAATACACCATTTTCAATTAATGATAGCTATAAAAAAATTCCAACCGCATGCTTTGTTTACATAAAACGATATATTTGGTTTTCATTTGTTAGGTACACGGTCGGTATAGTTAAAATGCGTTCTTTTGGTTAGTTTGGAATGGAGTTACTTAGTTCCATTGTTTAAGTCAATATAGGTACATCAAAAGCCATTATTTAAGTATCTTTTAAGCTCAATCATCGCGAGGCAGCGGATTGAACTGCGTTAGCACCTTGGAGATTTCTTGGGCCAATTGTGGCGTGGCTGCTGCCAGGACCCTTCGCGACATAATGTCAAACTCCCCGCCTGCAGGATCGATGACCACTCCTCCGGCCTCACGAACAATCAAATCCCCGGCACAAACATCCCAGGCATGAATGCCGAATTCATAGTTGGCATCGGCGGCTCCCAGAGCAACCATGGACATGTTTAGGGCTGCCGAACCCAGAACGCGTAAACTGAAAGAGAAAATAATATATATTAACAGGAGAAACATTATATTTTGTTAGGGTATTGTCCTTAGATAAATATTAACATTCAATTATAGACTACAAATTCTAAAATCTTTAGTTACAAATTTTTAAATGTGGCATTATATGTACACACAATTTTACTGTTTCTATGGAAGAAATCTAAAAAATGGAACTATATCTTTATAAAATGATTTTGTTTCCTTAACAAACAATTATTTAAATTCTTTTCAGATACATATAAAATAAAACATTTTTTTTTCAGAAAATAAAGTATTTTAGGCCGGAACTTCCAAGTTGCTTTTGAATTTTCTTGCTAACTTACCCGTGCACCTTTTTGGCCATCTTTTCGAAGTTCTCGTTGACGACCTTCATCTTTTCCTCGTCGCGGGTGGTTCCAAACTCACTGGTGACCAGGGCCTTGCCCAGTTCCTGCTGGCCACTCACGTGGATCCTCCGGCCGTTGTAGAAGGCTCCATGTCCCCGTCTCGCGGTGAAGCGCTGCTCCAAGATGGGGTTATAGACCAGGCCCAGCTCCGTGACCTTGTTCACCTTCAGGCCCACCGAGATGCAGGAGTGGGGAAAGGCGTGCACAAAGTTCATGGTGCCGTCCACGGGATCGATGATCCAGGTGGGGTCATTGGTCAGCTTTTTGACGCCACCCTCGCCGCTGCTCTCCTCCTCGCCGATGAACCTGTAATATCCATAGATTAGCCAATTGGTGGGACAATAGGGACTGTTAATCCCACTTGTGATCCGGAAAGTGCCGGCGAATGCCGTCCATCAGCAGCTGCTCCACATCCTTGTCCGTCTGGGTCACCAGATCAATGTCGTTGCTCTTGGTCACAAACTCCTGGCGGGTCTCATTGTTGCGTGCGATTAGCTGGGAAAATTACCAGGAAAATCGAAAAATTCCATTAGTCTCCATAATACAGGAGTGATTTTCCACTTCAATTTACCCTTCCAGCCTCGGATACCAGATTGCTGACCACTTCAAAGCACTTTTCCAGGTCCACATTATCGCCCATTTTGCAGTGGTGTTGTCTGTTTGGTTTCTGGACTTGCAATGAGCCGCTAACAAATCAAAAAATTACTAGTTTTAATTTAATTATACTATTATCAACAAAGTGACCGAGGCTCGCGACCGTTAAAATATACCAATAAGATTATGGAAAATACTTCTAACATACCAGAAAAGTTCTCTGATTGGAGAACTTTTATAAATACAGAGGATCCCACAGGTAATTAATTCAGTGAAGTTGCTATTTTCGCTATATTAATCCACGAATTTTGGCATAAAAAGGTTTTGTTAACTGGTATACAGTTACAGCTAATAAACGATAATCTTATTCTGACCATTGAAAAAATTCTTTTCCCGCCCATGAACCTGGTAAAGAACTTAGCTATTTACTTATTTCAATCGATTCGCGCCAAGTTCAAATCGCCAAGTTTTTATAACTTACGTTTGTGGTGAAAGCGCCAAATGAGATCCATATATCGAGGACTTACAAGAAACAAATTTTTGAAATATCAAACACAATTTCAACGCCATAACGATTTAATTTATGTAAGACAGCTAAATATATATAACAAGAAATCTATAATAAGAAATGAAAGGGTAAACTGATAAGTATTTAATAAATAAAGTAGTAAAGTCTCGATTTTAAATTTTATTTAATCCCGATTATATATATAAGAAAATGAAATTGTGAACTCCCAAAATTATTTATATTATTTTTCACAGGCCACATAAAATTGTTGTGTGCGTATTGACTTCAAATCATATTACTCATACGTACCTTTGATAAAATAATTTATACTTAAAGACATTACCTGCCGGATCAGTAATTTTAATTCGAGTCCATCTAGGAATATAGGTACCAAAATACTTGTTTTTAATTTTGTTATATATTTAATATACATATTTAATTTGAAAATGTTTGGTACCTTCTACCAGATAATTAAAAAATTTTATAATATTACGTTTACAAGGTACACGTAGCCTAGGTCCATAAAACTAGTACCTTCCCCAACCCTGCATTCATACCATAAATATAATCTTATTTACTTAAGAAACGACTAAAGTAACTTTTCATTTTCGCCTTTTGCATTGTCAATTTATTAAACAACTAAAATTTAATATCGGCTGGTCTTCCTGGTGGTCAGTTAGCGTTCGTCGGGAGCCGCGTTTGGAACTTCCGTGTCTGTTGTATCCGGAGTGTCGGAATCCGGAAAATCAGTTTGCCCGGAAAAGTCCCTGGTTTCCGGAGCTGGGCCGTATTCGTTGGGATTCACGGATCGGGGCTCATCGTCGCGAGGCGATGGATAGTTCTGCTCTATGAGGTTGCCCAGCTCCAGAGCCAGGTGCTCGGTGGACGCAGCCAGGCAGCGTCGGGACATTATGTCCAGTTCGTCTCCAGCCGGATCCATTGCCACTCCGCCAGCCTCGGTGACTATAAGAACTCCCGCGGCCATGTCCCAAACATGCAACCCGAAGTTGAAGTACGCATCCGCCACTCCAGAAGCCACCATTACCAAACCCATGGCAGAAGATCCAATGGAACGCATCCTGCCATGGAACAGGTATTTATAATAAAGTTTTATTATAATGAAATCTCTAAGATACTCACGCATGTGTCTTCTTCATCAGACGCTGGGCATTGTCTGCGGCCACCAGGTTGCGCGCCTCATTGCTGTCCGAGCTGAACTCCTGGAGGACCATGGCCGAGGAGAGATTGACCTGGCCAGTCGTCCGTATCATCGCACCGTTCATCTCCGCCCCCTTTCCCCGTTGGGCCGTGTACATGTTCTTCATGGGCGGATTATAAATAATACCAAACTGCGTCTCCTGGTTCACCAAATAGGCCACGGAGATGCAGTAGTACGGGAAGTGATGGAACGTAGTTCATGGTGCCGCCGATGGGATCGATTACCCAGGTGGGATCATCGGTCAGGGTCACCATTCCGGTCTCCGTCTTCGAAGTTCGCTCCTCCGATATAAATCTGCAGGTTAAAAAAAAGTTCTCTATTAAAAAAAACATTTTGACTTTTTATTTCGTTTTCAAAAATTTGAAAACTACGTGGAAAAGGAATTGAAGTGTTTTTAATTGTACGTCTTTAAACGTTTTAACTATAATCTATTTTAGTTCTCTGACTTTAGAAAAATATAATTCTTTTAGTTATAAAACTTTGCATTCCCATTATGAGGGAAAACATCACCCTCTTGAATTCTTAATTATACGATTTCCAGACATCTGGCCTTTAAACATTTCTACAATAAATTATTTCGGCTATCCGACATGAAAATTCTTAACTGTAAAGCTGTAAATTCAGATACCTAATCAGCATCAGATATCAAGCGATTCTGATTTTAATTTCACCCTAAAGATAATTAACTTACTGGTGATCGGGGAACCGTGAACTGATGGCCTTGATGAAGGTCTCCTCCACAATGTTATCGGCGGGGGTACTCAGATCTTGGGCGTTCTTCTTGGGTGTGAACTCCTGCTTCTTTTTGTTCTCCGCCAGGGCGATGGCACCAGCCTGTCTCACCTCCCAGCAGGCCAACTGGAACAGATTTTCCAGATCGGTGGAGGGAAACTCGGCCGGCAGTTTGGGAGGTGGCTCGGTCTCGATCTCCGTTTCACTATCAGATAAGATCATGCCAGAAGTGTTGGTGCCCTTGGAGGCAAAATCCTTGGCCGGGTTAAAGGTCACGTCCGTGTTGGTCAACTTGCTCAACGAGCTCTGCACATCGTCCTTGCTGCTGTCTGGCTGCAAGGACGACATCATGGGCGGTGGCATTGGCAAGTCCTCCGGTCTTTGAGCTGGCGGAGCGATTGAATCCGCTTCTCTGCGCGCAAAATCAATGGACCTCCGCTGGGGTTCAGGAGGTGGTGGAGGTGGCGGTTCAGAGCGTGGTGTCGGTGGCGGTTCCGCAGCAGGAGGCTGGTTCACTGTGGCATCCGATGAACTTGAACTATCCGTTAATACAACATTTGACTTCTCCGATTTCCTTTTCTCCGGTACTCTCTCCACTTCGGAGGACTCGACATCGGCATCGACTTCCGAGTTGCGCTGCGGCTTGGGAGGCAGATCCGGAGCCACTGCGGCAGCAGGGCTTAAGGAGTTACGCGACGATATGTTTTCCGGTGGCCTGGCATCGGGAGCAGGTGTGGCAGATGGGGGCGTGTGCTCCCCAATGCGACCACTGCCCCACTGGTCATTCGCGGTCTGCAACCGCATGGACGAGGCTTTCGTGGTGGCACGCTTATCGGCGGGCACCATGGAGCCACGTCGCTCCTCGGCGTGCCGCAGTGTGTTCACCCGGGCATCCTGCTGGTTGGCTTCGTGGTCCTCCAAGCCGAAGTGGGTGGCCGCGTTCCGCTCACGGGAGTCATCCTTTTTGGGGTCATTTTTCGGCGGATGTTGTCCGTCGGCCATTATGATGTTGTCGGTCCCCCTAGCCCAAGACAATGACCAACTCCAAGTTCTCCCACTGCCACCAAGGTGATGAAAGGCCAAGCCGAAATTCTACTGAGCGAGATTGTCAGAGGTCGAGAGTTGACTACTCTACCAGGAATTATTTAGCCAGGCCGGTGCGATCTGCTATTCTACTCTAGATTTTTGGGATTGCCTTGAATAATTTTTGAACTTAAAATATATAATATATAATTGAAGTATTTTTAATATATTTCGATTTTAGGCATGTTTAGTAGTTCTCTTCAATAATTAAATGATCTTTGGTTTTTCAGGTTCAAACACATTAAAACAATAAACTTTATTATACACATACGTTCATATACAGAAATATATATAGATATGTAAATTGCATTCTTCCGTTCGCCAACACTGTAATACTAACAATCTTTTTACAATCAGACGCAGAACACCAATCAGATAATCTCATGGATTCCATTATTATCCACTATTTCTATGCCGATCTCCCAAAAATAACGAGCTCTAACAATAAAGTCCTTTATAATATTCATAGGCTTGCAGCAGTAACTTCAATGATATGTTTCGTTGCAGTAAGTCTTCTGACCATATAACATATATATATATATTGTATATAGTATATCCGAGCGGTTCTCTTTAACATGTAGATCGTAAGTAGGAATGTGTCAAGCATTATGCCACACTGATATGTATCGTTCTCAAACTTACGGGCTAATGGGCAGGGGAAGAAACCGATTCCCCGATCGGTTCCGGACTTACGTGCGTGTCATCTCGGATCTGAAAAGGTGCGAGAAGAGTGGCTACAAAACAAAAGGATACAACTGAAAAGGGTGAGCTGTGTAATTTGTGGCTACAACTGGAATCGTGTATATATTTTGTCTCATATCAATTCTACTAAAAATACATACATAAGTAAGATATAATTAAATTTGTATCACAACGAATTAGCGAGAACTTAAACTACGACTACAACAAAGAAACAAAAGAACTTGGAAAATGTGTGCGTGCTGAGCATGTTAACTACGGTGAACAGGCAAATACACGAGGTCAGACGATAGATAGTTACGTGAATCGGAAACCATCCAGTCGTCTACTTACGCACACGCTTAGGCTTACAAACTAGGTAGAATTCAGAAGGTGCTAACCACGCCGTAGCCCGGAACGGGACCAACATTAAGCAATAGGTATTTTGTATATGTAGGGGGAGATTTACAGGATACGTAATCGGGGTACGTAAGTGGTAGAAATGCGACGGCAGAGTGGAGTGGTCGGTGCAAGCTGGGTTAAGCCTTCGGTAAGGGATCCTAGCCGCTGCCAGTTGGCCCATCTGCTACCATCTACTTGGCCTCCACTGGCCGGTTGGCAAAGAGCTGCTCCACAATCTGTTCATCAGCCAGAGTCGAGGTATCGCCCACATTGCGATCGTTAACAGCGATCTTGCGCAGCACTCGGCGCATGATCTTGCCGGAGCGAGTTTTGGGCAATCCAGGAGCGTTCTGGATGACATCCGGCATGGCGAAGGGTCCGATTCGCTCACGCACCATCTTCTTCAGGTCAGAAATCAGCTTCTGGTCGAAGACCTCATTCTCGTTGGGTGTGATAAAGCAGTAGAGGCATTCCCCCTTGACGGGATGCGGACGGGAGACCACGGCGGACTCGGCAACACGAGGATGCTCCGTCAGGACCGATTCCACCTCGGCGGTGGACATCAGATGTCCGGACACGTTCAACATGTCGTCCACACGGCCAGTGATCCAGAGATAGCCATCAGCATCGCGACGGGCACCTGTCAGGGAAATTTAAAATAGATAGTTAGCAATATGTCTTTTTAATATGAATTCGTTTATCTGAAAGTAAATCGATTACGTTATATTACTATATTTTAATACTTTAGAAAACGTACAAGATTGATCCAAAATGTTTTATGATAATATCAAATTAAACTCACCGTCGCCAGTGCAGTAGTAGCCAGGGAACTTGGAGAAGTAGGTGTCCTCGAAGCGTTCATGGTTGTTGTACAAGGTGCGCATCATTCCCGGCCAAGGCTGCGAGAAGACCAAGTAGCCTTCGCCCTCGCCCTTGATCTCGATACCACACTCATCCAGCAAAGTGGGCTTGACGCCAAAGAAGGGGAAAGACTGAAAAATAATGCAAATAAATTATAATTGGGTTTTAGTTATTAGGTGAAGGACTTCTTACAGCAGAGCCCGGCTTCATGGGCGTGGCTCCAGGAAGGGGTGTGATGACATGACCACCAGTTTCCGTCTGCCAGAAGGTATCCACAATGGAGCACTGCTCCTTGCCGATGTTGCGGTAGTACCAGAGCCAGGCCTCCGGGTTAATGGGCTCACCCACGCTGCCCAAAACTCTATAAAAGATAAGAGATAAGTAAGTAACAGTTGACAGAAAATACAATTATATATTAAGCATATTGTGTTATTTTGTGTTTGAGTTCGTTAGCAAATAATGAATTTATTCTAACATACTGATAACAACAAAAAATGTTATAGATTGATTTGTTTTTTAATTGTCCTAATTTAGTATGTGCTGATTATATTAAAAAAATATTTTTAGCCAGGCAAGTGCATTTCTAAACGATATCTAAACTTGTTTTCTTAATTGACACCTTTTTTTCTAAAGTAATAAATTATTTAGCATAATAAATTTATTTATAAGTTTATTTAATTTTGTCTTCAAATGAATTTTTAATATCTTTCATTCCTTAACGAGTGAATGTAAATGTAAAACTTCCAAAACATATGATTAGAAAATGGCTAAACGTTTCAATAAAAGACTGACGACATTTTCTACATTTAAATTTAATAATTCGATGATTGATTTTAAGAAGTTGCGAGAAACTTACTTGAGTCCGCTTAGGTTATGCTTCAACACGGGACCTTCGCCATACTTCATGAGCGCACGGATGGCCGTGGGAGCTGTATAGAACTGGGTGACCTTATATTTGTCAATAACACTCCAATACCGATCGTTTCCAGGAAAGAATGGTGTGCCCTCAAACTGAAAAAAACCAGGTATTAAAGAAAGTTAGTCGGAAAATGCGCTATTTGTTTGATCTAATCGAACACTTACAATAACTGAAGTGGCACCATTGGCCAGTGGTCCGTACACCACGTAAGTGTGTCCCGTGATCCAGCCAACATCGGCGGTGCACCAGTAGATATCACCCGGCTTGTAATCAAAGACGATCTTGAATGTTGTGGCCGCATACAGCAGATATCCGGCGGTGGTGTGGAGTACTCCCTTTGGCTTGCCGGTGGAACCGCTGGTGTACAGCATGAACAGTGGATCCTCAGCATCCATCCACTCGGGGTAGCAGGCTGGTTCCTTGTCCTCCATCTCCTCGTGCCACCAGTAATCCCGGTCGTCGGTCCACGGGATCTCCTCCTCGACATGATCCGGCTGGCAGGGAGTGACGCGCTTCAAATGCGACACAACGATGCACTTCTCCACCGAGTGACCCATCTCCTCGACCTTCTCCAATGCCGTGTCGCACAGGGCCTTCAGGTACAGAGGCTTCTCTCCACGCCAGGCTCCATCCGCCGTGATCAGCAGCTTGGCCTTGCAGTCGAACATCCGCTCCGCCAGTGAATCCGGTGAGAACCCAGCAAAAACTATGGAGTGCACGGCTCCAATGCGGGCGCAGGCTAACATTGCGATGGGCAGCTCCAAGATCATCGGCATATAGATGGACACACGGTCGCCCTTTCGGATTCCATGATCCTTCAACACGTTGGCGAAGCGGCACACCTCCTCCAGCAACTTGCGGTAGGTGAGACCCCGGGAATAATCGTCGGGGTGGTTGCCCTCCCTGAAACAATGACAAAATAAAGAAAAAAACGACCATGAGGAAACACATTGTGGTATATAGTATTACTTCTATAGTATTTACATTGAGCACGCGCCGGTGGCGTTCTTAAATGGGTGGCCGCGTACCGGGTGTCCCACAATTGGGCTAATTACCCCGACCACAATTGGATCACTTACTGTAATGCGAGGCTTCCTAATTGCCCTAGGAGACCTAATTCGATTCTTTCCATTTAAATAGCCACCCAATTTTAAAGTTATCACGTATAGTTTCCGTATGCATTATACAAATTCTTCTAATTGTAAAATATCTTTTATTAGCAATGGTAAATTATGGAAGATGAATCTTAATTTTAAATCTGACAACATTATGTTTGTATTATATTGTATATTTAATACAAGTTGGCTATTATGCAGATATATAAATATACATTTTGTTAAGCAATATTAAAACCAAACTTCATGTGTGCCAATAAATACTTAGGAGTGCTATTAGTTTAACCGTAGTTGTTCTTACAATATATATACTACATACATATGTATATCATTACATTGCACAATTGTATTTACTTTATGTGCCTTTCCCTTTTTGTTCTGAACTTGGCAACAGAAGCCAATGCCAATAACCGGCATAATTGTATATACATCAGCAACAAAAAGTCTTTGACCAATTACACTAGGGGCCAAAAATAAATACAGATACAAAAGGAGCCTCAAAGAGGAATGCACATAACTCTAAAAATTGATTAACATTTTGAAAAACATATTAATACCAATAAATTGGCTATACCAGTACAACTAACAATTTCATAAAAAATGCTTATGATATCCATTTCCACATAAATAGAGATAACTATTAACGCTTCCGTAATTGTTGCTATTAAATGAATGAATTTAGAATTTGACACGAAATGTATGCAGAACTGGACAGAGCTCTGAAAGCTTCAAATACAAATATAAACAAAAATCGTGACTGAGCTAAATAGTGAATGATTTCAGCTCCCAAAACGGATATAAACATTCGCGATCGTCGACGGACGGACACGAAAATTATAATAGTAATAGGGAAAGCAATTTTCCATGGCACATTTGGAGGTCAAGACAGATTGGCAACGCAAAAAAATACAGCAATAAACTAACTGGACAAAAAAAAACGTTCAGGTGGGCAGGGCAAGTAGACAATGCAATCAGTAGAGCACAATGTGGAGTGTAAATCATCGGCTTTTTGTCCGGCACCTGCGATAAGAATTAGCCGGCAATAAAACGGCTTTTATTTCGGTCCCCGCCAAAAAAAAAATTTCCGAAGAGAAAAGCAGGAAGCAGGCGGAACAAAGCTCCCATCGTGACGTTTTTGGGGGTTATTTTGGTACCGCTGACTATTCCTCGCGACCAAAGTTCGCACTAAAAGGGGTGACGAGTGCCGAGTGGGGTTGTTTTGGCCCGTTTCGGGTGTGACTGGGCCAACAGCCATGAAATGTTATTCCACTTGAGCGAAATACCTGTTTGCACTTGAGCCTGTCAATTAGTAAGATGGTAAAAATAAATAAAATACGCATTGAAAACGCCGTTCGACTGTGAGTAGCACTGTTTTAAGTCACTTTTTTTCTTAAGCCTGACCAAAATGTTAGCTACTGTGTTTACTGATCATGGTTCTCAAATTTATGGTACTAAAACTTATACAGATAACTCAAAAAGAATTTACTTTTCATTGCTTTACTTTAGCTATCCTTAATAGAATTTAAATTGATAGTTGAAAGTCACAATCAAAACCTAGGTAAAACCCTTTTTGCGAACTTTCAAAGCATCTTTTTTTACTCAAATAAAATCGCTGTCTTTTAATTTTATAAACAAGAAAATTAATTTTTAATTTGAAATAAATTCACGATTTCACTTTGTTTTGTTT